TTCTCTGGGGCAGGATTGGGGTCTATGGGCGTGGTCGAGCCCAGGGGGATTGGGAGCCCGGGCACCTGGGTTCTTTAGAAGGGGATTAGGGTCTATGGGGGTTGGAGCCCAGGGGGATTGGGAGCCCAGATGCCTGGTTGCTCTCGGAGGGGATTAGGATCTATAGCGGGGTCAGAGCCTAGGGGAATTGGAAGCCTGGCCGCCTGGGGTCCTTGGGGTGGGGGACCCAGACGCCTGGGTTGTTTCCCTTTCCCCCGGGGTGAGGCTACTCAAGCCTCAGGGAAGCAGGAAAGGAATTTGAACAGCTCTGGGGGCCTGGCCCTGCCCTGCCCTGCCCTGGGGGGAGGGGACAGGGCCTGGACGCCTGGGGTGTCTGTGGGGTGGGAAGGTGAGAGTGGGGGGCTGGGACCCCCAGACACCTGGCTTCTCCCAGCGAGAGCCTGGATGCCTGGGTTCTCCGAGCAGCAGGTGCATGAAGTCACTGGGGGGGGGCAGGAGTGGCCCCTGGGCCTGGTTTAGCCTGGCCACACCCTGCTGCCTTCCTTTGTCCTGGAGTTGGGAAAGAACCTGGGCTCCCAGCCGCACCCTGCTCTGGCTCCCAGCCCCCCTCCACCCGGAGAACCCTGGTGTCTGGGCCCCCAGGCCCACCAGGACCCTCCTAGAGAGCCCGGGAGTCGGGGTCCCCCCCTTCCTGCCCGAGTCCCAGAGCTGGAGAGAACCTGAGCACCCGGGAATGTTACCCTGGAGCTATGGATTTCATTGCACCTGCCATGGGAAGTAGGAAGCCAGGCACCCAGGATCCCAATCCTCCTGGGCCCTGACCCACCCCCCCATAGACCCTAATCTCTCTCCCCCACCCAACCTAGGTGTCCTGGCTCCTAATCCCACTGGGCTCTGACCTCCCCTATAGACCCCACTGTTTGGGGGGGAGCAGGAGATAAGCCAGGCATCTGGGCCTCCTTCAGCTGGGTGTCTGGGGTTGGTGGCAGCCAGTGGTTCTGCGGTTTGCTATCGGGCTCCCAAACCCACTGTGTTTTCCCACAGGCCAGGGCCCGATAAGATTAGCATGCCCCGAGATAAGGAACCCAGGCCTCTGGGCTTTGCCTTTTCTTTCCTGCCTCTCAGAGCTGGAGGACACCCAGGCCTCCTGGCTCCCAGCCCCCATTCACCCTGCCCCCTGAACCCAGACATCCGGCCCCCAGTTCAAGCACCCCATAGACCCCACTTCCCCACACTGAGAGCCCAGGTGTT